CAAGAGTTTGAGGTTGCTATGAGCTACAACACCAGGGCACTCTACCCAGGGTGACCAAGTGAGACTCTGTCTCAAAAACAAAAAGAAAGAAATGCACTTTTTTAGATAGGATTGCCTTCATTGGTTACCCAGGTTTAGGTACTCACTTCTCATGAACACTGGCTACAAAGCATTTAAAACCAAACAAGCACAACATTAGATTTATACAAAGATGACCAAGTAGAGGCAGGCAAGACTCAACCTACCTCGTATTTACCAACTCTGTCATATTTGGATGGTAGGAGCTCCATGGAAGAAAGGTGATGTCAAGTAATACTTCAAAGCTTTGGGCCACAACCAAAATACAGCATCATTTTAAACAGAAGCAGGTTGCTAAACAACGCACAACACTCCCTTGATGTGTTCAAAGATGCTGACATCAGTATTTAATCATCTGGTCACTCATCCAGGAAGGCAATCAATTACTATACTTTGCTTGTGTTCAACTCAGTTACCTCTACACAAGATTTTCAAGATTGGCTACAATTTAATGAGAAAGATGAGGAGGAAGAGATTTGTGTGCATGTGTGGTTATCTCTCTGATAGAAAGATTTATGGTAAAAAGGACTACATCATAATTTGAGAGCCATGTATGTAAAAACTACAAGTTATGTTTGTGGTTAAATCCTACTATAAACATAATGTGTAGAGTTCTCCAAAGCTTAACTATGTTCTGCAAAGCTTAACCATACATTCTGTGAAGTGTATATACTCTCATAAGGATTTCCTTATGGGAACAATACCATATTCTACCTTGTGTACTAAATGCTCAAACTTGGAGCATCCATCAGCTATCATTTATTTCCGCCCTCTACTAAGGGTGAAGATTAGTAAAGCAAGTATGGTGGGAAACTGTATTTTTTGGCTGGGCATGGTGGCTCACACTTAGAATCCTAGCACTTTGTGAGGCTGAGGTGGGAGGATCGCTTGAGGCCGGGAGTTTGAGGCTAGCCTAGACAACATAGTGAGACCTTATCTTTACCAAAAAATTTTTTTGATTAGATGGGCAAGGTGGTGCACCCCTATAGTGCCAGCTACTCGAGAGTCTGAGGCAGGAGGATCCCTTGAACTCCTGGGTGCAAGTTATCCTCCTGCCTCACTTCCCAAGTGGCTGGGTCTACAGGCACATGCCATTGTGTCCAGCATTATTTCTATCTTAACTTTAATTCTAAAACCTTCCCAGTAGAGTTGACTTTGTTCATTTTAGGAGAATATGTTTTCTTTTCCTAAGTATAATATCTTTTTTATATTCTCATTAAAACTGCCTTGGCTAGGGATGAGTGTATGGGTTACCAAAAAAATTTAAAAATACATTGACTTGGCTTCATCAAAGTATGTTAGTCTCTTAGAATTTATGAACAATCTTACTATATTCAGAGCTGTGGATTTCTTAGGTTACTGAATGGTAGAGTTTAAGAATATTTCCTTTATTCTACCTCTACAGTTCAAGCCATAAATCAAATAAGGAAAAATGTTCTAATAAGAAAGTGACATTATTGAAATATTAGCAAAAAGTGGCCTCTTTGAGATTTTAGAGGCCTAAAAACTGACAAGAGGGAAACTTAATAAGAATTGAGAAGTTGGGCAGCGCCTGTGGCTCAAAGGGGTAGGGTGCTGGCCCCATATGCTGGAGGTGGCAGGTTCAAACCCAGCCCTGGCCAAAACCGGAAAAAAAAAAAAAAATTGAGAAGTGAACTGAAAAGCTACCCATGAAATAATAGACTTAATGTACCTCTGATAGGCAAGCTTCCAGTGACAGCAATTAATTTATTTGCCAAGATACTCCCTTTGTTTTTGAACTTGTAACCCACCCAGTTTTATTTTTATTTCCTTTTAACCCTTTCACTCAGCTTACATTTCTAATGGAAAAGTTTACTGTTTATCAGTAAGTTTAGTTTGCTGTGGTGATTTATTTTTTTCGGGGTGGGGGGAAAAAGCAAAACTTGTCAATTTCACAGAGAATTTCATTTAAAATTTAGGCTATGATAAAATTGGCTTATCAGCTTTTCATTTTCAGAAATAATACAAATGTAATCAGTGATATACTTATCTAAAATTCTGTTTTTAAAAATTTCATGACTTTGTCCTGTCAATTTGTGAAATTGACTTTAGTTTATTGGTGGTATGTCTTACAAATGTAAATTGCAGGAAGTAGGAATGCTGTTCCTTACTTTCTAAAAGTTTACTAACATTACATGGATTAGATGGATTTCTCTGTGGTGACTTACGCTAATCCATTGGTCAAGTATCTAACATTAGAAGGAAAAATCAGCTTGTATTGTTTTTCATTGCTTTTTTTCAAGTATATTTAAAACCTGCATTATTTTATATGCCAATTATAAGAATTGGATTTTGGTTTTAAATAGATTTTTATGGGCTCAGCGCCCAAAAAATACATTTTTATGGTTATGGTGTCAGCCACATACACTGAGGCTGGTGGGTTCAAACCTGGCCAGGGCCTGCTAAAGCAACAATCACAACAAAAAAAATAGCCGAGCATTATGATGGGCACCTGTAGTCCCAGCTACTTGGGAGGCTGAGACAAGAGAATCACTTAAGCCCAAGAGTTTGAGGTTGCTGTGAGCTATGATGCCATGGCATTCTGTCAGGTGTGACATAGTGAGACTCTGTCTCAAAAAACATAAATAAATAAATATATTTTTATGTTTCATATGCTTCTACATCTCATTTTTAGGCAAAAACAGAATTTAAAAAATGAGCGAGGACATTAAAGCTTATATCTTAATTTCTAAGTCTTCAGAAATGGCAATTATATATACACACACACACATATATATATATATATATTTTTTTTTTTTTTGAGACAGAGCCTCAAGCTATTCCCCTGGGTAGAGTGCTGTGGCTTCACAGCTCACGGCAACCTCCAACTCCTGGGCTCAAGCGAGTCTCCTACCTCCGCCTCCCAAGTAGCTGGGACTACAGGTGCCCGCCACAACACGTGGCTATTTTTTGGTTGCAGCCATCTTTGTTGTTTGGCGGGCCTGGGCTGGATTCGAACCCTCCACCTTAGGTGTATATGGCTGATGCCTTAGCCACTTGAGCCACAGGCACCAAACCGCAATTATATTTTTTAACAATGAGAGATATTATTAGTATAACTGTATTTATACTTCATTTATCTGTGGTTTTCATTACCTAGTATAGGTTAGTAGATTTTATGGTAGACCTTTAAACACGATTAGAAAACTGAATTCATCTGTATCCCTAACATCATACCTATGAGTAAAGCATAGCGACCATTATTAAGAATCATAGGCCTATGTCTCAGCGCCTGTGGCTCAAGCCAGCTACATACACCTGAGTTGACAGGTTCAAATCCAGTCTGGGCCCACCAAAACAACAATGACGGCTACAACCAAAAAACAGTCAGGCATTGTGGCAGGCGCCTGTGGTCCCAGCTACTTGGGAGGCAGGAGACTCGCTTGAGCCCAGGAGTTAGAGGTTGCTGTGAGCTGTGATGCCGTGGCACTCTACCCAGGAGGATAGCTTGAGACTCTGTCTCAAAAAAAAAAAAAAGAATCATAGGCCTAGATTTTTATCAGTGTCTTGATTAAATCTATTTAACTATTTATGAGTACTTGTTTTCTCTAACCAAGAAATAAAAGTATAAAATTCTGTCAGTAACTCTGTCCTCAGAGTAGCACAGTATAAACTAAAGTCTACATCACATCTTCTGAAACTTAATAGAGTTGGTATTTATTCACATCCCTTTGAATTTTATTTTATTTATTTATTTTTTGAGCCAGGGTCTCACTTTGTTACCCTGGGTAGAATGCCATGGCATCATCATAGCTCATAGCAACTTCAAACTCCTGGGCTCAAGTGATCCTCTTGCCTCACCTTCCCTAGTAACTGGAACTACAGGCGTGCACCACTACGCACAGCTAGTTTTTCTATTTTTAATAGAGACAGGGTCTCACTCTTGCTCAGGCTGGTCTCCAACTGCTGAGCTAAAGTAGTCTTCTTGCTTTGGCCTCCCAGAGTGCTAGTATTACAGGCATGAGCCTGGACTATTCAGATCCCTTGGAATTTTAATAAATAAGAGTAGGTGGACAGCGCCTGTGGCTCAGTGGGTAGGGCGCCAGCCCCATATACTGAGGGTGGCTGGGTCAAACCCGGCCCCGGCCAAACTGCAGTAAAAAAATAGCTGTGCTTTGTGGTGGGCTACTCCAGAGGCTGAGGCAGGAGAATCACCTAAGCCCAGGAATTGGAGGTTGCTGTGAGCTGTGTGATGCCATGGCACTCTACCTAGGGCGATAGAGTGAGACTCTGTTTCTACAAAAAATAAAATAAAATAAAAATATAAATAAATAAGAGTAGGTGCTCATTGGTGTAGTGAGATGGTGCATTTCAAGAAAAGCCTAAGTGCTCACAAATTCTTTTCTGTGAGATTCAGCTTATTTCTTTGTCTGGGGAGGGGCTGCTTTAAAATGTGCCCTTAGCTAGAGTGCTTTGCAATTCAATAAATATCTTTTTAAAAATTTTTATTAGGGCGGCACCTGTGGCTCAATGAGTAAGGGTGCCAGTCCCATATACCACAGGTAGCAGGTTCAAACCTGCCGCAATTAAAAACTGCAAAAAAGAAAATTATCAAAAAATACTTGAGCAAGGCTACATAGTATCTTTTTTTTTTTTTTT